CCGCCACAACGCCCGGCTATTTTTTGGTTGCAGCCGTCATAGTTGTTTGGCGGGTCCAGGCTGGGGATTTGAACCCGCCACCTTAGGTGTACGTGGCTGGCGCCTTAGCCGGTTGAGCTATAGGCACCGAGCCATTGTTTCCATTCTTATGATAAGCATGACTTGGCTGGGGTGTACAGATAGCATCAAGTCATGGGAAGGGCTTTTATGGTTTTTTTTTTTTTTTTTGAGATAGTTTCACTTTGTTGCCTTTGATAGAGTGCTGTGAAATCACAGTTCACAGCAACCTCAAACTCTTGGGCTCAAACAAATACTCTTGCCTCAGCCTCCCATAGCTGGGACTACAGGCATCTGGCACAACACCGGTTCATGGGAAGGGTTTGAAGTGGCTCCTCATTGGAGCCTGCCACCCCTGGAGAGTCTGTAAGTACCTCCTTAGATTTTTTTTATTTTTATTTATTTATTGAGTCAGGGTCTCACTCTGTGCCCTTGGTAGAGTGTCATTTGCATCACAGCAACCCCAAAATGTTGGGCTTAAGTGATCCTCTTGCCTTATCCTCCCGAGTAGCTGGGACTACAGGTGCCCACCACATGCCTGGCTAGTTTATCTATTTTTGGTAGAGATGGGGGGTCTCACTTTTGTTCAGGCCAATCTCCAATTCCTGTGCTCAGGTGATCCACTTGCCTTGGCTTCCCAGAGTGCTAGGTGTGAGCCACCACGTCTGGCCTTATTTATTTTTATTTATTTATTCTGAGACAGAGTCTCACTACGTCATCCTCAGTAGAGTGCTGTGGTGTCATACGTCACAGCAACCTCAAACTCTTGAGCTTGCAAGCAATTCTCTTGCTCAGTCTCCTAAGTAGCTGGAACTACAGGTGCCCGTCACAATTCCTGGTTATTTTTTTGTTGTAGTTGTCACTGTTATTTAGCAGGCCCAGGCCAGGCTCGAACCCTCCAGTCCTGGTGTATGTGGCCACAGCCCCAACCACTAAGCTATGGGCGCTGACCCTCATTTATTTATTTTTGAGACAGTCTCTCACTCTGTTGCCCAGGCTACAGTGCATCATCTGTAGCCATCATCTGTGGCATCATCCTACCTCATAGCAACTCCAAACTCCTGGGTTCAAGTAATACTCTTGCCTCAGCCTCCCAAGTAGATGGGACTACAATACAGGTGGTATGCCACCATACCTGGCTTTTTTTTTTTTTCTATTTTTAGTAGAGATGAGGGTATCACTCCTGCTCACACTGGTCTCAAACTCGTGAGCTCAAGCAATCCTCCCACTCCAGTCTCCCAAAGTGCTAGATAACAAGTGTGAACCACCACATGCAGCTTTTAAGTCCCTCCTTAATCCTTTCCACTCATTTTTATTTCTTCCGGAGATTCTCAGCCAAAAACTACAAATACCTAA